GTTAATTTTTTAAGGTTATTTAATAAGCGAAAATTTAATTTACACGTGATTAAGTCACGGATTAATTAAATCGTATTTAATCAATTATATATACATATATATATAACTCACGAGTAAACTGGCTTCCATACGAAGAATCCAATAAAGAAGTGCCGAATTCATGAGACACTCCAGTAACTCCTCTATTTCTAATCAAATTATCCAAATCTTCTAAAACTTTTATTGGAACTCTTTCCTTTGATGAATTAGCGTCGTAGTTTCTGACATCAATTCTTATTAATACCTGTCTAGAATTGTCAAGTTGATAATTACTTGTGGTTTGAATACGATCTTTATCACATGGAATTACAGTCGATAGATCTTCGGACATTTCAGCAGCGAATTGACTACGATTCGAATCAGAAAGTTCTCTAAAATATTTTGAACCTTCCGGCGTTAAACGAACTATAGCACTTTCCTTAGCTAATTATATAATTCGTATATACTAGGATCGTGAGTTTAATATGTTTAACAATAAGGAAGCATTTAATAAGCAAAGATAAATATTTGTGAAATGAATTACCAGGATCGATAAATTGATCATTGCTATCTAATAATAAATTAAATTGATTAGATCTCTGCGCCACGAAAATAACTTGACCGCAGTAAACAACGCGTAAAACGCGACCATGGCGCAGTCAACAAAATCAAAATAATAACATGTCTTAAAGAATATAAACAAATTTCGTGGATCACGTACCAGTTTTAACAGTCCAAATTGAAGGTCTAATGCCCAAAAGTGGTTGACTATTTTGAATGTCTTGGACAAATGCATTATCAACCTGGATAAAATAATCCGACGATCGTTGATTAAATGTACTGGTCAACACGTCGAATTGTACTTGATTACTACCATTTCCATTTAACAGTCTAACATATCTCCTGTCAGTTCCTTGAAAAGTTTGTCGAAGTATTGGAGATGAGCCATTTGATTGATATATTGATACATTTCCTGATGATAAAATTATATTTGTGGTGAATGTTATCGTTAGAGATGGAGTGCTTGACAAGGGAATTATTGAAGAATTTCCAGGAGAAACTGCGCTGATGGAAGCATTATTGAAACCACCAGGATCCGGAACTTTGATAGAAAAATGATAGATAAATTTACTTAATTAAAAAGTAAAGTAAAGTAAAAGGAATTAAAAATAATAAAAGAATTACCGGTTCTAAAATCAACTAAAACTGAAGAAGTTACAAAGGTCCAAGTGAGATTATTAGGACCATTAACTACAGCCCATAAAGTATTATTAGGATATACACCAATATTTCTAGTATAATTATAAGTTGATGGCATTCTCCAAGTTCCATTAGGATTACCAACGTCATCATAAAGTAAACCATCAATTACAGTGGTATTAATGTTCTGTCTTAAAACACAATAACCTCCTTGATATAAATTTAAAATATCCCAAACAACATATTGATAAGTTTCTAATCCAGTAATAGTAAATTCTTGACTAATTTTTCTAGCACCAGTTCTAAAAAAATCAATAGTTATGAAACTAGGTTCAGTTGCACCAACAAGAACTTGATATATTATACAATTATAACCCGAAGATTGAAATGATATAGAGCATCTAAATATTTTTAATTGATTTAATGATTGTGTTGTCTGTTCATATAATTGAAAAGGACCTTTTGTGCCGCTATCTGAGATAAAATATACAAACACCGTCCACGGTGGTGTATATGCAGTACCTTGTGTTGTTAAATTTGTTGTATTATATTGAGCAGTTACTATTCCATAACCTCCATCTTCTAACGGAAATATTGAAGTATAATTTGGACTAAACTTTGTTATTCCATTTATCCTTCCAACCCCTAACGTATTCATAGTTCCACTAGAGTCACTATTTTAATAATTATAGATATTTATAGGAAAATATTAAGAAGAATTATATATAAAGAATTATATATAAAGAATTATATATTATATATATAAAGAAATAAATATCCAGTAATATATAAATAAAGAATTAGTTTGTTTGAAAAAATATAAAGGAAATCACAACATTTTTTTAAATAATAAAAAAGCTTACGGAGTGCCAAATCTTCTCCATACTAATTGACTATTTGATTTCATATAACACACCCAAAAAAATTCACCGATATTTGGATTTATATTCTGAGCGATATTTACATCATCACAATCATCTCCAAGATCAATTCCTCTATTTTAATTTATCAATAATTCAATTAAAAAGGCAGGCATCAATAAATCAATGAATCAATTAAAAAAAATAAAATAAAATTAAAATAAAAAATAAAAAATAAAAAAAATAAAAAAAATAAAA